GGGGGAGGGGGGAAGCTTGGCTGCCGCAGAACCAAGCTTCTGCCTCCTGCCCCTGCAGGGGAGAGCGGTGGGCGGGGGGGCTGGGGGCCGGGACTGCGGCAGGGAGCTGCGTGCCACTCAGAATCGGCTCGCGTGCTGTGTTTGGCACGCGTGCCGTAGGTTGCCGACCCCTGATCTAGACCATCCCTGACAGGTGTTTGTCTAAACTGCTCTTAAAAATCTCCAATGACAGAGATTCCACAATCTCTCTAGGCAATTTATTCCAGTGCTTAACCACCCTTACAGTTAGGAAGTTTTTCCTAATGTCCAACCTAAACCTCCCCTGCTGCAATTTAAGCCCATTGCTTCTTGTCCTATCCTCAGAGGTTAAGAACAATTATTTCCCCTCCTCCTTGTAACAACCTTTTATGTACTTGAACACATTTATCATGTCCCCTCTCAGTCTTCTCTTTTCCAGACTAAACAAACCCAATTTTTTTCAATCTTCCCTCACAGGTCATGTTTTTTAGACCTTTAATCATTTTTGTTGCTCTTCTCTGGACTTTCTCTAATTTGTTACCATCTTTCTGTGAAGCTTTTGGCCTCAATGGTCTCTTGTAGCAATGAGTTCCACAGATCAATCATGCATTGTGTAACAAAGTATTTCCTTTGATCGATTTCTAATCCTGCTCCCTGGGAGCATAGTCAGGAATTCTTCAGTCTGCTGCCACCCCTGGAATCCCCCCAACACAACAGCACATCAGATCTGAGAGTGCTCTGCTAAAAAGTTAATACACCTAAGGTGATTCCCAGTTGTGTCAGTTGGAGATGTACAAATACCCACCAGCCAATAGAGTCTAGGGACATAGGGAAAGGGCCATCAAGGTGACTGAGCCCTCCCCTGCATGGAAAGAGGGAGAGCTGCATGTGGAAGATCTCCTCTGAGCACAGATCATGGGTCATAGTCTATCTGGGAGTGATTCCCTGACCCAATGGAGTCAGAAAGGATCACCCGCACCCACAGATCTCTCCTCCAGCCAGTGGGGACGTGCTAATCCTTGAGAGATTGGGTTTTTTCACATACAACTCACTTTCCCAGCTGTGCCAAACACTTAGGCCTACAAAAGCCAAGCAGCACATCTCACCACAAACTCTTTCAGGATCTCTTGCTCTTCAATCTGCCTCCGAAGGTTCTGGATCAGAACTCTGAGACGAGACCTCAGATCTACCCCAGTCAGCGATGGCATAATGTGAGTCAGCTGAGTCAGCTCGTCTTCAGAAACAAGTGTTCTGCCTAGGCATTGACAACAAAGAGGGAATGAGTTTAATTTTTGTAGTGCAATGCGCACACACTGCTGGCTTTGAAAAGGAGGGGATTGCTAGTCTTCAGTGCCTTTTGCCACCTACTTTTTGGAAGCAGAATCCAGAAGCAGTTTCTCAACCTCGTTTATGTTCCCAGCTGACACAAGCATAAGTCAAAACCCTGTATCTAAACCCCCATATTTCATGGAAGCTGGATCTTGAGCCAAACACTGCAGCTCATGGCCACGTGCAGTGGCTAAACACAGCCTAGACTAAATACAATGTTACTGCAGAACTGTATACTTCAATGCCTGCTTAAACTAGTGCAAAAGACTCCACCCACATCTTCACTGTAAATCCTCTACTTTCTACAGCAGGGGTCAGCAACCTTTCAGAAGTGGTGTGCTGAGTCTTCATTTATACACTCTAATTTAAGTCTTCACGTGCCAGTAATACATTTTAACGTTTTTTAGAAGGTCTCTCTATAAGTCTAAATATTATATAACCAAACTACTGTTATATGTAAAGTAAACAAGGTTTTCAAAATGTTCAGAAGCTTTATTTAAAATTAAATTAAAATGCAAATCTTATCAGTTTAGTGTGATCCTTGCCCTTGCTTTTCCTTGCTGAGCTTTCCAATGTCTAGCACGTATTTGGATACTTTAAGCTGCACACAGGCTTCTGAGTGATTAGTTGTTAACCAGCTGGCAGGAGGTCGGCGACTGGAACCCCAGATTGGCAGCTGAGGTGAGTGGAACTGGTGGCTGGTATGGCTGAGCAGGGCCGGAGGCCTGGACCCTGTCTGGCAGGGGGCCTGCGCTGAAACTCCAACCGGAAGCAAGGTGAGTGGGGCTGCGGTGGGGACCCCGTCTAGCAAGGGGCCAGCAGCCAGAACCCCAGAGCAGCGATTGAGCGGCTCAGCCCACCGCCACTCTGGGGTTTCGGCCGCTGGCTCCTGCCAGCCGGGGTCTCAGCCCGCTGCCAGCCTGGGGTTCCTTCACCCAGGCCAGAAGTGGGTGCTGAGTGGGACCGGCAGTGGGACCCTGGCTGGCAGGAGCTGGCGGCGGAAACAGCAGAGCGGCGGCGGGCTGAGCGGCTCAGCCCGCCGCGTGCCATCAAAAATTGGCTCGCGTGCCATCTTTGGCATGCGTGCCGTAGGTTGCCGATCCCTGTTCTACAGATTAGTGTGGTCACTTTCCTGGTTCTAGCAATAATCACTGTACATTAACTTTTTTCCCCAAGTCAGGAAATATATCATGTTCTATTTTTACCTTTCCATCCCACTCAAGGACTTACAATTTTTCAGCAAGTTGGCTGCACCAAAGCAAAGATGAATTTTTATTGGTTGTAGCCCTACCTGAGATAGGTGTCCCAATTTGAGAGTGGTCTATTGAGCACATGGGTAAATGGTTAAAAAACCTGCATAAATGTCAAATATTCTTACATGAAACACTGCTAGGTCAATGGAATATGAAGACTCACATTTGGTCTATCTGAACTCTCGTGCGACAATACAGTGAGTCTATGTTCAGACCGCTGGTGACACTGGAACCAGAGATGCTGAGGTGAGTTACTCTGTGGCTTGTCTTTATGAATATGGTCTGCATATACTGAAATTGAGGGACCCTGCCTTGATTTGACCTAATATTTCAAGGCTAGGTCATGACTTGGACTAAGCACCTGTGCTGGGGAGTAAATACCGTTTACACTTCTGTGTGTGACCTGGGGTCTAGATACACAGAAGTTAGTAGTTGCTGAATGCTCATTTACTGTCCTAGCCCAGACCAAGGGAGAGGGCAGTAGGCAGGGAAGACTTATACCCTTCTGTGTCTAGTGGTATATGAGGCAACTCATTTTTCCCATTGCTGTCAATCTGGAGTAAGGTGTTTGACTCTATCGTAAATTGTCTCCATGATGGCAGCAGCCTTTTCAATTGTCCTGCCATAGGTCATTCCTTGTCCTCCACACCTTCTCTTCCTTCCAGGTGGAAACCAGTCTAAGATATACCTTGTTTTTCTGCCATGGGATGGCCTGATGACACAGAAGCCATCTCTGTCTAATTACTGAGTCTGCAGTCTGCTGACTCGTGCAGCACAGCACTTCCACATTGGTCACACAATGTCTCCAACGAATTCGTCTCAAACAATACTGGTGACATGCATTCAGTTCCCTGTTGTGTACTCCCACCAGCTGCCATGTTTGAGGCATACAGTAGTGTTGAAAGGGCAATAGCGTTGTATCGCCTCCTCTGACTCTTCCAGATGCTTGATAAATGGGTAAAGCATCCAAAAGCTTTACTGATTCTTGACTTCACTTCTTCAGCGAGCTGGCCTTTAGCAGATATTGCACTTCCTTGATAGACAAGTCATCCACTCCTTTGTACTCTTATCAATCCGCCTGCATTGACAGCATTCTCTCCTATCTCCAAGGCCTTGGTCTTCTGCTTACTGATACAAAGTTCCACTTTAGCAGTATCTGCTTTTATGCTCATAAAAAATCTTTTCGTTCCATCCAAGTTGGTAGCCAATATCACTAGATCATCTGCAAAACTGAAGTCTCACAGCTCATCTCTTGCCCAAGCAATGCCCATGTTCTCGGCAGCAGCCATCACTTTTCTCATCACACAGTCTATGACAATGCAGAAGAGAAGCGGGGGGTCATACGCAACCTTGCCTTACACTAGAAACTATCTTAAATCATTTGGCGTCTCTGCTTTGTGTCCAGATGCAGCACAAAGTTTTTATCAAAGTAATAATCTTTGCTGGAATTCCCTATTGTCTCAGGATCTTCCAGAAGGCGCTCTGTGGACACTATCAAATGCTTTCATAAAATCAAGTGGGCAGGAAATGGATGGTGTTTTGGCTATGTGCCCCTATGCACCAGTCGACAGAGCTGAGCCTGCACAGGGCGTGTCGTACTCTGCTGCTGGTGAAAACCATCCATCAGCAAATTACTGCTTCTGCAGAGGAAAGGGAAGCTGAGTGGAAACTGCACCTTACAGCAGTGTCTGAGATACTCCTGGAGTGGCGCAGCTAGGAGTCTAAGGGCTAGTCTACACTACCGGCCCGGATCAGCGGGTAGAAATCGATCTCTCGGGGATCGATTTATCGCATCTCATGTAGACGGATAAATCGATCCCCGAATCGACGCACGTACTCCCACCTCGTCAGGAGGAGTAAGCGCCGTCGACGGGGGAGCCGCGGCGGTCAATTTGCCACCGTCCTCACAGCGGGGTAAGTTGAATAGGATACGTCGAATTCAGCTATGCTATTCGCGTAGCTGAATTTGCGTATCTTAAATCGATCCCCCCCCCAGTGTAGACCTAGCCTAAGGGACCAGTAGGTCAAAGTGCACTAGGGAACTTTTAGTGTGTGGTAGCAGGGTCCACACGGACAGTTAGTGCATGGCATGCTAGTGCACTGTAAATTTACATCCCAGTTTGCAATCAACTAAGTGTTCATCTAACAAGCCCTCAATCATCACCATCCCTTGCTCAAGGTATTCTTCTGTATTTGGCATAGGAGCAATTGAACTTCTCACAAGACAGATAAGGCTGAGTCCTGCTGTGACTAGGGGGTCTTCTGAGGCCTTTGGAGAGAGGTTCAGCCCCTAATGCACCAAAGGATTTAACTTCAAGTGCATGAGCAGTCCCATTGATTTCAAGGAGATTACTCACACGCATAAAATGAAACATATGTTTATGTGTTGGCAGGACCAAGGCCTTAAATTAGAATTGGTTCTTTCCCCCTTTCTTTGTTTCCTTCAGTAGTCCCCGTTTGTGTTTTTGGATCAAGTTTTCTGCAAGATCTTCAGGTCCTCTTCTAACCCTGAGCATTAAAAGGCCAGTATGAATTTTGTAGCATTGTACTGGAATTCATTTCAGTGCTTCTCCACACTTTGTGTGATATTGTCTTTCAGGTGAATTACTGTATTTATCCTTGGAAACGAATTTAAAGTTAAGATGAAAAAATTAGTGCATAACTTGTAACTCTTCCATGGTGCCCATAGAACCTTCCCTTTTGCATTAAATAAATCATAAATGTAATAATTAACTTGGAGTCTTTAAAGTAAGACTGGATGTCCGTTTAAAAGAACTGCCCAGAGGTTCTGCTAGGGTATTCACCTCTGCAGCAGGAAACAATAATTCCCTGCACTGCAGGAATCAATGATGAGATTCTCTGGCTTGTGTTATACATGAGGTCAGACTAATTGATCTAATAGTCCCTTCTGGCCTTAACCTCTATTACATCTCTTTCAGCAAAACAATGTATAGAACTGGCTAGTGTGAATGTGTACCACTGCCCCCTAATGGACAAAATCATGATTGCAAGTCGAGGTGATTAAATAGGGCAGTGTTTCCCAAACTGTGTTCCGCGGAACACTGGTGTTCCACACGATGTGAATAGGTGTTCCGTGAAAGAATCATAATTCAAAAAAAAGGGTCTTTAAATTTTTTTTAATTTTAAATTTGGCATATTTGAAGAGTAGTTTACAACTCTTTTTGAATGACTATAATTTAACATAAAACTCTTTTTCCAGTTATTGATAGATCTCGTATTGAATATCATGGCGTAAAGAGAACGTGGCACACAAGCATGTTGACGTCTACCCCTTTCGGGCACGTTTCAGTTAGTGACGTTGTACCCCTTCCGCTCGAGGCTGCGCGAATTGCAGTGGTATGCACACACCATTCTCTTTATGCCATGTTGAATATAACATATTCACTCAACACGTTCAAACCTGTGGGTCTTTACCGTGTGTGCAATAAGCAAAACTAAACTAGCTTTGCTTGAAACAATATAAATATTTGTGACAAACAAAATCAGTATTTCTAAATATTGTTACTAAACCTAATTACCATGAATTTGTGGCTAAAAGAAGGAACTTTGAAACGAAAAGCAAGTTCTTCTGGTACTCCAACTGTGGCCGAAATAAACGAGCAAAATATTGTGACACTTCAAAGTGAGGATGAACAATCGCAGTCTTTTGTTG